ATAAGTAAAATCTTAAAAATAATAATAACATGGGTCTTATGTCCCCACCCCCTTCAAGCCTAAGGACAGTAGTTTCCTAAAACTCCTTGAGCACAGAGTTTTAGGGCTTTTACGTTCAAACAAGATGGCTTCTAGTAAACTTTAGTGCAACTTCACAAAACAAGCGTTTAATGAGTGTCTGTGGTGCGTATGGCATACTACCCGCACAGGGTGTGTCTTCTACCATTTACCATACACCCACACACTCATGCACTCCTTTACAGTCACCTTTTACTAGAAGCTCAGTTTCTCTGTGTGTGAAATGAGAGGTTGAACTGAGCCATATCTACATCCTTGGTGTCTAACCTCCTGCATTCCTGCTGGTAACCTGATGTTAGCAAATAAAGACCAGGTTTGAAAGGAAGCAGCTTAGGAGTGACCATGACAAATAGGAGAATTATCTCTGAGGCCATTTGAACCAAAACTATGATAGATCCCAGTTAGGCAGGAGCCCAGTGGCTCAGTGGGTGAGTGTCTGCCTTCAGCTCAGGTCATGATCCCTGAGTCCTGGGATCGAGTCCCACATCAGGCTCCCCATGGGGAGCCTGTTTCTCCCTCTACCTATGTCTCTGCCTCTCTCTGTGTAAATTTTTTTTTTAAATTCCAGTTAGATAAAGACTTCTAACTCTGGGAAATGAACTAGGGGTGGTGGAAGGGGAGGAGGGCGGGGGGTGGGGGTGAATGGGTGACGGGCACGGAGGGGGACACTTGACGGGATGAGCACTGGGTGTTATTCTGTATGTTGGTAAATTGAACACCAATAAAAATTAATTTATAAAAAAAATAAAATAAAATAAAATTCCAGTTAGGCAATTTTTAAAAATATAGTTATTTGAGGGAGAGCAAGAAAGCGCACAAGCAGGAGGGAGGGGCAGCAGGAGAGGGAGAAGCAGACTCCCTGCTGAGCAGGGAGCCCCACTCTAGGGACTAGCTAGATAATTTAAATAAATTCATGCTTTAGTCTGTTCAGGCTGCTATAACAAAATACCATAGACTGAATGACTTCAACAAAAGATTCATTTCTTACTGTTCTGGAGGCTCTAAGTCCAAGATTCAGGGGCTGGTTGAGTCAGTTCCTATTGAAACCTCTCTTCTTTGGTACATGCACAAGAAGAGAGAGAAAGTAAGATATTTCTCCTGTCTTTCCCTCTAAGGACACCAATGCCATCATGGGAGCTCCACCCTCATGACCTAATTGCCTCCCAAAGCACGTCCAAGTACTATGACATGGGGTTAGGGCCTCAACATATGGATTCTGGGGGCACACAAACACTCAGTCCACAACAATTCATATATGACAGGCCTGGATTGAATAATTAAAGAGGATTTTGAGAATGCTTGTGTTATGCTACTAAGCATAAACATATGACATCTTTTGAGGTCTTTCCCATTTTATAGGTGGGACACTGTAGAACACAGAAATGAAGAAACCCAGCTAACTGGTGACAGAGCCAGGGTTTGAACTATAGTAGCCCAGAGTCCTCATGCCTAATGCATTATAATGCACTGTGCCACCATCCAGAATGGAAGATGAAGGCAGAGAACTGTCCTGTGTACCTAGAAGCTGCTCCTTGGAGCTGCTGGTGAAGCTGTGATGCTGGGCTAGGAAGCAGTTAGTTTGACCCAGCTTGGAAATACTTTTTTTTTTTTTTTAAGATTTTATTTGTCTCTTGAGAAATGATTTCTACCTTCACCCCAAAAACGTTTTCTCCCTTTCCACTTAAACACCCAGGTCCAGTTTTCACAATGCTGTACCTCTGGGCAGTTGAGGTAACTTGTGCTCATTTCACACAAGGAGCAATCGAGGTCAAGAAAAGTACAAGTATGTGCTTGCAGGACCAGCCCCAATGCCCTCCCTCCCCAGCACTTACATGGCCATCAGGCATTCTCCCATGGAGGAACAACAGACCAGGGCATTGGAGACCTCACGCAAATGAGCACACTGCTGGGCCCTCAGATGGTTTGTGCTCTGGTATCCTCTCTAGGTGGTCATTGAGAAGAAGGAGCAGGAAAGGTCAGGCAGCAAAGCTAGTGGGCCTGCTAGCAGTGTCTACTGAGCTGTCTAAAATCCATTGTTAAGATCCCCTTGGAGCCCCTTTGAGCTGAGTATTTGCCTAAGGTCACTGGTGTCCTTCAAAACCACTCTGTTCTTGGGCCCCTTGCCATACTCCTTGGTCTACTCGCCAGGTAGGAAGCAGGTGGACAGGCCCTGCGGTGATTTGGGCTGCTGGGAGGCTGGCACTGGCTGGATAGAGTGGGGACAGAGCCATGCGGGCACCAATACCAGCTGGAGGGTGGAGGACCCTCACTGAGGCAGCCTCTCAGGGCTTCTCACTGGCAAAGGGTGCAAGCAGCAGTGGAGCTCCTGGGATCTGTCCTATGTTAGCATGTACCTCCAGGCAAGCAATCACTCTGCTCTTTTTAATCAGCCAGTGAGCATTTTCTGAGTCCCTACTTTATTCAGCACCACTGGCTAGAAATGCAAAAACGAAAGACAAAGCGCCCAGCATCAAGGATACTATAGGTTAATGGGAAATGGGCCCCTTCTTGGGGAAGGAACTGGTGCAGCCTCTGTAGGCCTCATGCTTTGGGAGAGCATAATAGGGAAGGAAGTGCTACACTTTTTAGACACTGATAACTTCAATTTAAAATCCTTGTTTTGGGGGCGCCTGGGTGGCTCAGTCAGTTAAGAGTCCAACTCTTGATTTCAGCTCAAGGCATGATCTCAGGGTCCTGGGATTGATCCCCTCATCAGGCTCCACGCTCAGTGGGGAGTTTGCTGGAGAGTCCCTCTGCCTCTGCCCCTCCCCCTGCTCATACTCACATGTGCTCTCTCTTTCTCTCAAATAAATAAATCATCAAAAACATAAAATAAAATCCCTGTTGTTAAAGATCCCCTTGGGGCCCATGAACAATGCTGACTTCTCAGTCTCCTTTGCAGGTGCAGCTATCTGGGGATGGGTTCATTTGTCCTAGGACCCACACCCCTCCAAGGATGGATGCAGAGATCTGTGCTGTCCAGAACAGTAGCCACCTCCATGTGGGGGTTGAAGCTTAAACTAAATAAAATTTAAAATGCAGCTCCTCAGTTAACATCAGTTGCCCTTCAATGTTCAGTACAACGTGTGGCTGGTGGCTGCCAAAGTGGACCGAGCAGACATAGAAGCCTTCTGTCATTTCCATAAATTCCATTGGCTAGTCTTCATGCATAGATACTTGCAGTAGAAAGTGGCACATCCTGGGGATGAGTACTAAGATGAGCACTGGGTGTTGTATGTAAGTGATGAGTCACTGAATTCTACTCCAGAAACCAATATTGCACCATATGCTAACTAACTAAAATTTAAATTAAAAGAGAGAGAGAGAGAGGAAGGAAGGAAGGAAGGAAGGAAGGAAGGAAGGAAGGAAGGAAGGAAGGAAGGAGGGAGGGAGAGAGGGAGGGAAGGAGGGAGGATGGAAGAGGCACACCCTGGGCCAGCCATGGTGGGAGGAGACTAAACCGCCTGGGCAGGGGTAGGGATGGGGAAGGCAGTGGAGAATCTTCTCTGAGCAGAGCCCAAACCCCAGCTTCCTTCACCTTGAGTGTTGGTGCTTCCTAGGTCTGAGGCTCCCTGCTTCTCTTTCCACGACTCCTTGAGTCGTTTCTTGCATGCTATGGCTTCACTGACCACATTCCTCAGAAATGCTCAGCCAGGCTGCATTTGTACAGTTCAGTGGATCTCAAACTACATTAGATACCCTCAGAGAGCTTCATAAAAGACAGGCTCCTGGCCCTTCATGCCCAGTCTGATCAGCAGGCCCGGGGGTGGGGCCAGAGGAGTTGCATTTCAAGCAAAGTCCCAGATGACAGGTGACCCTGATGCTACTGGTCTGGGAATAACACTTTGAGAATCCTGGGATGGTCTAAAGAATCCCATTCATTGATTCATTCATTCCACAAATATTCCTGTAAAGCTACCATGTGCCAGGCGCTCTTTCTAGATGTGAACAAACCAGCGCTCCCTGTGCTAGGGAGCTTATATTCAAGCAACTGGAAACCGTATGGCTATGTCAGATAGCGATGAACAAAGCAGGGCAAGGGAGGAGGGCTATTTTATGGGGTCATCAGGAAAGGCCTCACTAACCAGGTGATATTTGAGCAAAGACGTCAGGAAAGCAAGGGAGGGGCAGGATATGACCGTGACCTTTCTGGCTCCATCTTCAGCTTTTTAATTAGAAAAATGTGACTCATTTAATATGTTTAACAGTCAAGGTCATGAGTCTCTGTGGTAGCTAGGTTTGAAGACAAATTCAATTGTGTGTGTATGCATTTTGTTAAAAAGAAGCCTGATGCTAAAGGCCATAGATTCCCTCTGGGCTGGCAATTCCACCTTTGGTGGGACTGATGTCCTGTTTGGCCCTCCTCTGTCCACACCTGCAAGGTGAGGGCTCCTGAGGGTTAAGGGGGACTGCCATAGAGCCTGTATCCCACCTCTAGAGGATGCCTTAGAGTTCCCAGTCCAGATGGCTCCAGCCTATTTCTAGGCCCTGCAGGCCTCTTCCCTGTCTGCCACGCCAAAAGAACCAAAAAGGGGTGGGGTGGGGTGACCTGGGGCCTGAAATGTCCATACCTAAACATTTGAGGGATAGAACTGCCACGGGAGGAGAGGGCTCTATTTGCCTTCTGGTCCTGGGTTCTGCAACTATCAGGAGCAGACCTGTCAGCCTCAACCAATTAGCTGAACACTCCTTACCTCTATCCAGCTTTGGGGTCCAGGCAGGAGAGTGTAGGTCAGTCAACATTTATCCACAATTGCTGGAGGAATAAGCAATTGGTTAAGGCTTGTGGGTTAATAGTGGGTCTCTGCCTGCATGGGGATGGTGGGTATGTGGGATCCACCCTAGCCTCTAACACATGCCAGCCTTTCTGGTGCAGTACAAACTGCACTAATTTTCCTTTGCAATACGTGATATCTTTTTAGGCCCAACTGTCCCAGGCCTTAAATGGGGTTTCCGATAAGGCGAAAGAAGCAAAGGAGTTTCTGGTCCAGCTGAAGAACATCCTGCAGCAGATCCAGGTGAGCAGAGCTCCAGCACTAGGAGGGAAATTGTGTAGGAAACAGATGAGAAGTGGCAAAAGGAAAGGGAAAGTCCTCTGGCTAGCATTTTATTGATGATGAACATAGAAGGTTTAATGGTCCTACTGCATAGCCTCAGACGCATTGATTAAATGCATCGATATATCAATGCATCATTTACTGAATCGATGCTGTGTCACATGCTGAGCCCAACACAGATCAATAAGGCACAGTCTCTGGCCTCAGGAGCTGTCTGTAGGGGAGAGTGCACATGCATATGCTCTATGTGAATGTGCATGCATGGAGGACTGGTTCATAGAGATGATGAATCCATGAAATATTCCAGTGTCTGCATGGAGAGGAGGGACCACCGGCATTGCGTTCTTAATCTTGGATTAGGCCCACACTCATGACTGAGTTTTAACTTAATCACCTCTCAAAAGGCCCAATCTCCAGACATATTCTGGGGTGCTGGGGGTGAAAGCACAGCCCACAACACAAGGTTGGAATCCATGCTGACTTCAGAAGGATTCTTTGTTAAGACCAAGAAAGATCCTACAGCAAGAGCACTGTATTTTGGGTTGTTTTACTATCTTCCAATTATAAAAAGCAAAACTATATATTGTAGAAATTTTGGAAAGTAGAGAACAATAGACAGAGCTAAGAAAAAGTTCACCAATATCTCCCCACCTTAGGTGACTGCTTCACCATTTTGACATGTTCTCCCATGATTTAGACATACGTGTGCATGCACGTATACATGCACGTATACAGATTATTCTGTACATGACTTGTAACCTCCTCCCTCCTTTTTTTCTTATCAGTCTTTCATGAGCATTTTCCATGACATTAAAAACTCTTAATAAACAAGGTTTGAATGACTGTGGGATATTCCATTGTACAGATGTGTCAAGATTCATGGTACTCCTCCCCGATTCATGTTCACATTGTTTCCAATGTAATAATGTTACACATGATTCTAGGAAGAGCTTCTCTGAAATATTTCTTTGTGTTTAGCTCTGCCCAGGTTTCAGCCTGTCTTCTCCCTAAAGTTCTCTGCTTCCCCCAGGAAAACGGACTGGACTATGAAGCCTGCCTAGTTGCTCAGTGTGATGCACTGGTCGATGCTTTAACTCGGCAGAAAGCCAAGCTGCTCACCAAGGTCACTAAAGAGAGGGAACACAAACTGAAGGTAGGTACCTGGGTGATGACACCCTAGTCCCCATCACACCCTCTGCACCACATGTGCAGTGGAGCACACAGTAGGCACCAGGTCAACATTAGATGAGTGAGAGAATGAATGAATGAGTGGAGTGAAGAAGGGATGAGCAAGCTGCCCCTGCACCTGCTTACACTCATGTGACTTTCCCCAAAGCCACGTTCTCCTTGCAAAGCTGCAATCAGATACCCTGACTCCTGCTGTTCTCAGGCCATCTTCTCTGAGGTCTTGGTTTCTGTCTAAGGGACTCTGCCTCTCACCTTGCAGAGCAGAAGTGACCAGTGACAGAGGGGAGGCCTTGTTCTGCTCAGGTTGCCAACTCTTTCCCCTCCTTCAGGCCCTCTCTAATATCTCACACACTCAGTAATCAGCGATAATAATATGACCAGTGTCCACCAGGAGAAGAGGGTTTTCCTCACATGACACTGGGCTCCTGATCCAGGCAGGTGCTGTGAATACTCTGCATCAACGGAAGATTGTGTCATTGTCTTGGGGGTTCGACCTATTTTATAGACACTTCCCAGTGAATTAAGAAATAGTACTTTTTTAAAAAAAAGATTTTATTTATTTATTCACGAGAGACACAGAGAGAGAGGCAGAGACACAGGCAGAGGAAAAAGAAGGCTCCCCATGGGGAGCCTGATGCAAGACTCAATCCCAGGACCCCGAGATCACACCCTGAGCCAAAGGCAGATGCTTAACCAGGTGCCCCAGGAAACAGTACTTTCAAGGAAAGAAGGAATGAGTGTTGGGGATGGTCTGTGGCTTTCAAGTGAAGCAGCTGAACCCATTGAGTTATCCATGACCACCAACAGATGAGACATATGATAAGAAGCTGGTCACTGTTCACATGGAGACTGTGCACTTTCTCTACTACCCAGAGTTCAGGAACAGTTTGTTCTCTTGAGCATTGGGCCAGCTTGTTGGGAAGTGGGTCCATTTATTCCCCAGGAAAGAGGGCACACAACTCAGGAGCGGAGCAGCCAGGGGAGAGGGTCAAGATGGTTGCCTCTTCCAGGGCTTTGTCCATGCTAATTTTTCAAGTCCCACTACAGTCTGGCTGCTCTTCCTCTGATAGATGGTTACTAGGGGTTCTTTTCATCACAGATGGTTTGGGACCAGATCAATCATTGTACATTGAAGCTGCGCCAATCAACAGGGCTGATGGAGTACTGCCTGGAGGTGATCAAGGAGAATGACCCCTCCGGGTTCCTACAGGTAGGCTTGCACTCAGAGGACATAGACAGGTTTGGCTTCCCATCTCCAACTCCACTGGCACTCCCCAAACTAGCTGAAGTTTTAGGACAGTCCCTTTCAGTGAATTGAGTAGATATTCTTTTGCTCAGAGATTCCAGAAGACCTAGGTTCTCATCTTGGGTCTGATTCTCACTTGCTGTGACCCTGGTTCTGTGTCCTTGTTAAGAGAGGAGGTCAAATGTCATGATTTCTAGGACCAAAATGTCATGCGTTTATGCTTTGACTTCAAGAGACCCCAACTCAACATTTTTCCCACAAATGGGAGAAGACAGTCTTTGCCAAACAAGCTAGAAAGACAGCAGCAGAGGAAGTAAGTAGCAGAATCCACCCGGCCCATTACCTCAATGTGCAGACCCCTGTAGGTCTGGACATATGGCCATGCCTGCAGAGCCCGGGCAACCTTGCTGGGGCATCCCTCCAGCAGCCAGGCTGAATCAGAGCCACGAGCATCTCTCAAGAACATGACAGTGATTCAGATGGTGGCTCAGTCCTCCGTCTGTGGGGAAAATGATGAGTCCCCTTGACTAGTCCTTAAGAAGAGTCCACGGGATCATGGCTCCACAGGGACATGTGCCAGTGTCTGAATGAGCAGGACTTTCCAGCAGAGGAGAGCAGAGCTGAGTGCGTGATGGAGAGTTTGGAGCAGACCAACTTGGAGGGAATACACCATGGGGAGTGAGCTTCAAAACTCTGAGGATATAGGAAGTGCTTTCTTCAGACCCTAGGACAAACCACTAGTATGTGGTTTCCTACTTTCCACTTTGCAAAGTACTAGATCTAGCAAAAGCAATATAATGAAGAATGCTTTTGCATATTTAAAAAGAATAATTTGCTTCACAAAATGGTTTGGCCTGATATCCTTAAAACAGCAAGCTCTTCTTTACATTTATTTTTTTAAGATTTTATTTATTTATTTGATAGAGAGGGAAAAAATAGTGAAGGAGAACACAGGGCACAGGGAGAAGCAGGCTTCCTGCTCAGCCGGACTCGGGACTTGGGGCTCCATCCCAGGACCCTGAGATCATGACCTGAACTGAAGGCAGATGCTTAACCAACTGAGTCACCCGGGTGCCCCTCTTCTTTACATTTAAATGATTGGTCCTTTAAAATATGATTTAAATGATACAGTGCATTTTTATTTGTGCAGTCATGCTGGCAGCGATCATAAATTTTCTGCCATGGCTTGAGAGCACATGGCTAACACAGCCCCTTCCCATCCCCCAAGCCACAGAGACCAAGCCCCTACTCCTTCCCTACCACTTGCTCTATGATTTTTCCTTTGCATATTGAAACTCTAACCTCTGTGCTCCCCTTTAAGATCTCAGATGCTCTGATCAAGCGTGTCCAGGTGTCTCAGGAACAGTGGGTCAAAGGTGCCCTGGAGCCGAAAGTATCTGCGGAGTTTGACCTGACCTTGGACAGTGAGCCACTGCTGCAGGCCATCCATCAGCTGGACTTCATCCAGATGAAATGTAGGGGTGAGCCGTAGTTGGCCCAGTTCAGTCTGTGCTTCTTTCTAAAGAGGAACTCACTCTGAGAGGGTGTAGGACACAGCTTTGAACAAGTCAACAAACTCCCTCACAAGACTGAACTGATATTTTAGAAAAGGAAATAGACAGTACACAAATATACCATATAATGTCCAATGGAGGCTTTTTGGGAAAGGAGGATATTTTGAGGTGAGGAGGAGGAGAGAGATGCAATATAGGGGAAGAATATTCTAGGTGGCATAGGGGTGGCAAATGCAAAGGCCCCTGAAGCAGGAATCCATTTTCTGGGTTCCAAGAAGAGCAAGAATGTCAGAGGTGAGAGCAGAATGAACAAAGTGGAGGATGCTAGAAGGCAGGGGAGAGCCATGAGAGACAGGCTAAGGGTCAGATAAAGTTGCATGACTTGCACCAGGTTACAACATTAGCAAGTGATGGCCAGAACGAAAGTCCTATTCTAAAGGCTACCTCTCCAGAGGCATCAAGGGTACATTCAGGAGAGGCAATAAAGCTCTTTGATTTTTTAAAACCAAAATACCAAAGGACAGAGTGCCAAATCTACAGAATCCGAGTGCAGGAAATCCTTACCTGAAAATCATGTGGCCATTTTTACACTAAAGATAAAACCAGCGTCTTACACAATTGCATACACACTCCCACACTCAGGTGAGGTTTGGAAATGCTGCCTGCACCTAGGTGTGAATGAGACGTGGTGCTGAGGGGCAGGAGGAGCCTGGCAGCGTGTGGGAAAGTACAGCAGAAGAAGGCGGTAGCTCTGGAAAGTGGGGGTGCAAAAGGAGGAGGCTGCTCTGGTGGGACTGGGTAGTGGATTCACAGAGGAAGTGGGAGAGCCAACAGCAGAGCCTAGGATGGAGAGGGGACCCCTACATGCTTGTAAACTGAGGCCTGGGGACTCGGTTATGCTCAGCCAGCCCTGAAACCAAGACTGTAAACAAGACAGGGCTGCACCCAGCTAAACCACCAGATGAAACTTGGGAGGCAGCCCTAATAACTGGAGCCAAATTGGAATCTCTAGTGTTTACCAATCTGATGTTACAAATTTCCCTTTAACAACTTTTAGTGTGGACTGGATTTGTTTCCAAAATCTCTTGAGCTTGAACAAAGCTAGAATATAAAAACTTTCTTTCGATCTCCTCACGATAGAACTTACGGTACATTTGATTCAAATCCCTAATTCCAAGGGTTGACTGCTGGATGCTCTAAGATTGCATCTCCCTCTGAGATCTGGTTCCCTGGGCCTTTAAAGTGCCTCCAGCCAAAGGTTTAAATGTGTCTTTGAATTCTGCATGCCGCCACCCCCAACAGGACCCTCCCAAGCCGTGGTGTAAGCAGCACTCTGGCCCCACAGACAGGGTCCATACAGGCCTGAGCGTGACCAGGAGGCACGCGGAACCCAGCTCTGTGGAAATCCCTCATGGGCTTCTCACGAGTCTGAGACTCAAATCTAGGGATTCTCAGTGAGCAGGTGGGGAAGAAGTCAACCCTTACTTAGGGCCCTGGACGCATCTGCCATGCCTCTCCCACCCCTTACTCCTGGGGCTCAGGTGCGCCAGTGAGAAGCTGGGAGTGACCACAGGGGGGCCCCATTCCTTCTGGGGACCAGGGGCCCTGCCATGGAGGAGGAGAGTCCCCACAGGTGTCCCATGCCTTGTAAGGGTTTCATGCACTGAACCAGTAGTTCCTGTTACAGTACCGCCCGTCCCCCTGCTGCAGCTGGAGAAGTGCTGCACCCACAACAACAGTGTCACACTGGCCTGGAGAATGCCACCCTTCACCCACAGCCCTGTGGACGGCTACATCCTGGAGCTGGATGACGGCGATGGGGGGCAGTTCCGGGTGAGGCCCTGCTGCTTGTTTTGAGGGGTCCTAACATCAAGGCCTCTGGACTAGCCCATGGGGCTGTTCTCAGTTCTGATGCTGCCCCCAAAGGGCATTGGCCCAAAAACAGAGAGCCGGTGGGTCTGGACCCTTGGGAGATGGGGCTTCCTTACAGAGGGCTAGGTCTGGGCAGCTCTGGCAGGCAAAGGTGGCAGCCACAGGGAAAATTTAGGACAGCTTTCCTGTGCAGACAGAGGTCTGAGGCCAAGGAAGAGCTCAGAGAATGTATCAACTGGATGGATCTATCTCCCAGTTCACCCCACCAGTGCAATCCTAGCTATTCTTCACCCCCTCCCAGATATCCCTCCTCAAGCAGGTCTCCACTCCCTCAACGCTCTGTCACTCCCTGCCCTAACCGAGTCACTGATTGTTTTACCTGGCAAGGTGCTCTGTGTGTGTGAAGATAGACACTTGGTAAATGGTTGTTGGGTTGGGATGAACTTCTACACTCATGTTTCCAGTGATGAAATATCACGGGGACAATAAAACTCTTAGTGAGTCAGAAATGGTCTTCTCTCCCCCATCTGGTTGAGACCCTAAGCTGACCCTCTAATGTAGATCTACTTTGAGATTTCACACAGCGAAGCTCAGGTCACTGTCAAGTTGCATTGTTGGAATGAATGCCGAGGAGCACAAACTCTAGGTCTTCTTAGAGCTCCTCCTTTCCATTCCTGAGGAGACTAAGGCACACTGGCCTACCACTGCCACTGTGACAACTGTGACATTTCTTCCCCATGTGACCATCTAACAAATCTTGCCGAAAATCAATATCCCTTTTGTTTCTCTCAAAGGGATGTATGCATATGTCATTTCATTTTTTTTTTTGTTTGAAAGATAGCCTATAAGAACAGAAGAGTTGGGGGAAAACCTGCAGCATTCCCTTGAGAATTATTGGGTCCCCTGTGAATATGGGCAATTTAGGGAAGAGAGGAGTTGAGGTTGGGTCAGCCAGGAATGGCAGATCATTCACTGGGTTTAGAACCTCAGTCATTCTGGCCACACAAAGGAGCTAAGACTGGAAATAACTCCTGGACCAGAAACCAGGAAAAGAGCCCCCGTTTTGGAAATGGGAAGAGAAGACTGTTTTTAGAATGTTCAAAGAAGCAGCCACAGAACTTAAATACACATGACCTCTTCCCTTTGAGACATGACCACTAACAGGAGCTAGAATTTATGAGGAGCCTCATATTATAGTGGGAAGTGTGCTGGGTTTGAATGCAGGCAGACCTGGATTTGAACCCTGGTTTCCAAATTGGTTCACTCTGATCTTGGGCAGGTTCCTACCTTCTCTGAGTCTCCTCATATATAAAAATACAAAAGATAGTAACAACATCCAAGGGGTGTGTGAGGATTAAAATACCTTATACAATGTTTGGCACACAGCTAATTATCGTTAATAACTTAGAATAACAAATGAAGAGCCAACTCCCTAAACAACCCTATAGGAAAGATGTTTTAGACAAAGTAGAAACAGTGGCATAGGAGGAAAGGGGGTTTCTGGACCTCTACCCCCTTGGGGAGTCCTGTCTGACTGGCTGGCCTCAGCAGAGTCAGGACATTCTCAGGAAGCATGCTAGCTGGCTGCAGACCCACCTTCACTCCCTGCCTCCCTAGGACCCCATCACACCTCAAGTCCTCACAGGCAGAGGGGCTGACCAGCCAGCAGTCAGACTCTGTGCCCCACTTGGACATGGTCTGTGGCCCTGTTGCCATTTATCCAAATTCCCCTGATCCAAGAACTCTATGGGGCGCTAGCACTTTAAATATCAATACATTGCTAAGAAGAATTTTCCAAATAACTGGGGCGCCTCCTGAATGCTCTTGGCTGTCTTTTAGGAAGTGTATGTTGGCAAAGAGACCCTGTGCACCATCGACGGTCTCCATTTCAACAGCACCTACAACGCCAGGGTCAAGGCTTTCAACTCCTCTGGCGTCGGGCCTTACAGTAAAACCGTGGTCCTGCAGACATCTGATGGTAAGCACAGGGTGGGCTGGGGGGTGGGGGTGGGGAACAGGGGAGGATCAGATTCAGGCACTGTGGATGAGCTCCTAAAGGAGAATGGGGCAGGAGGGAGGGGGACCCAGCTGCCTAGGACAGAGTGGAGGGGGGTGGGGAATGTGACAGCAGTGAAGCATATATGTCTCCTCCCTGCCCTGCCCCTTGCCTGCACCTCCCTCCCCACAAACCACCAAAAGACCATTTTTTTAACCCCATTTGCTGGACTGGGAAGGGAAACGGGGGTCTGAGAGGCTCTGGGAGACCCAGGGGCTGAGAATGGGTAGGACGGTCCTGGAAAAAGACCACTGGTCCCTGGGTGTGACCTTCCTTGCAATGGGAAACTATCCCTTGACTATCTAGTGTGAGAGCCCCCATCTGACTGTTGACACACCCGGCTGCATCCTTTCAGGTTTCTGGTAACAAAAGCAGACCAGCATTCGTGGGATTTTGGTCGTCTGAACCTTTAGCAGGGAGGGATGATGTCAGTAAAGGGCATGTTCTATAAAGAGTCTGCCCTGCTAACCCAGGCATGCCCCTGCCTGGGCTGCAGGGTCCCGGGATGATGCCAATCCTGTTTGTCATCTTGTATCCCAGCGCATCCCTTGGGCACCCTGAGGAAAATGTGACGCGCCTGGTTAGTTTCCCAAGGACGGAGGGGAGAGAGGGCGGGAGCAGATGCTCTTGTCAAGGGCACAACTAGGGATGCTTGTCTGAAAATGGTGCAAACTTTTCATTTTAGAAACCACCAGCTCTCTGCCCTCAGGGGCCCCCTGCTCTGCAGGGCAGCAGGTGTTGCCCCGTGTACTGTGGTCACCATTTTAGAGTAAGCACCCCACTTTCCACAACCTGAGGACACTGGGGAACAGAAGGAGGGGCCACTCAGTGGGCTGCAGAATAGGAGGATGGAGTGTGGTGATTTTGGTTACCTCACTTGACGTCTCTGTGGGTCAAATCCCCCACCCAGAGTGGGGCACAGATGTCTACTTCCTCTAACTCACACCAGTGCATGGAGCTATTGGAAGGGTGTCAGAAACCAAGACTCCATAAAATGCATTTAGATTTGGGGCTCCGAGGCCCGAATGTCTGCATTCCTTGGCAAGGTTGGCTTCATGGGATTGAGAACTTGGATGAACACACATCGGACAGAGTGTGTGTGCATGTATGTACATGGGAACGTGTGTGTGCCTGTGTGTGAACCAGCCAGAAAAGAACATTCGATGCTGGATGCCAACTTTCTGATAGATGCAAGTGAGTCTTCCTCTAAGCCCAGGTTAGAGACGGCTAGCAAATTCCATCCCTGACTCGGCTTCCTTCCTTTCCAGTGGCCTGGTTCACCTTTGACCCCAACTCTGGTCACCGGGACATCATTTTATCCAATGACAACCAGACGGCCACCTGCAGCAGTTACGACGACCGGGTGGTGCTGGGCACAGCGGCATTCTCCAAGGGTGTACACTACTGGGAGCTGCATGTGGATCGGTATGACAACCACCCGGACCCCGCCTTTGGGGTGGCCAGGGCCAGCGTGGTCAAGGACATGATGCTGGGCAAGGACGACAAGGCCTGGGCCATGTATGTGGACAACAACCGCAGCTGGTTCATGCACTGCAACTCCCACACCAACAGGTGCGCCGTCATGGGGTGTTTGGGAATGAGGGCCCTCTGGGGACAGCGTCCCTGCTGCCATTCCCAAGTCCAGGCATCAGGAATGTGGGGGAGGTATTTCAGCTACTTGGGTGTCCAATGTCCAGGTAGAAATGGAGTGTTTGCTTGCAGAGCATGCCATGGAGACTAGAGCAGCCCCAGGGCACAGGGCTTCACAGGTTACATGGCAAGCCCCAGCACCAGGGTCTTCCAGGCCTCTTGGCTGTCACTCCCCTCCCAGTCCTGCTCCTTTCTCCTTCACACACAATCAGCCGGGCCTGAGTCACTGCACCGCTGGTGCCCTCAAGGCTGTGACAGGGTCTCTACAGAGGGAGCAGGTGCCATTGCCCTGGCAGTGCACCCTCTCACCACCCAGGCTCATGTAGGCTTTAACAAGGCGGAGACTGCTCTCCAAAAGGGGCAGGCCTGGGAGGGGTGCTCACTGTCAAGGCCACCCCCAGCACCCCTTCACCCTGAGGCTGGCCCTGGGAACAGTGCTACCAGGACAGACACAGGGAGATGGGCCCTCTGGGGTTACTCTGGGAAGAGGTCACTGGTACCTGGGCTCCTTCAGGGACTCGTGGGCGCCTTGGTCTCTCTCCTCAAACAGGGAAGGAAGCCAGTGAGCCCCCCACCCTCCCTTCATAGCTCAGTGCTCGCTTTCTCCTCCAACAGGGATTCTGCGCTCACACCGGGTCTGTGTGTCCAGGGTAAGGGTGAGGGATGGAAAATCTTTAAGGCCAGCACTGGCCAAGGAACCCAGAAATAAAGAATCATGGCCACCGGGAGCTGCCTCCTCACAGTGTGATCTCCCTCCTGGTCTGCTAAGGGCCATCTCCGCAGCCAGGAGAGGCAACGAGCCTCAAGGAGCCAGGCTAAGGCAGCCTGGAGGCTCTCAGTGTTCTGTGTCCACCTGTGGCTCCTGCAAATGGTCCCAGGGGTGCTTGTCCGAGCCTCCCGGGAGGGGGGGACTGGAAGCGGATTGGACCTCTCCCACCTGCCTTTTCTCTGGCAGTGACTCCTGTCTCTAGACGCCTAGAAGAGGGGTAGAACCTCTATCCCTCTGCACCCTCTGCCTGGGCCCCGCAGGCTTACTGGGTGCCCCAGGATGCCCAGGCACTGGACCTGCCCTGGTCCCCCTTTTCACAAACCACAGAGGAGCTGGGTCCAGACCCACCAGCTCCATCTCCACTTGGTTAAACCAAATGGTGCCCAGATATGCTGCGGATGGGAGTAACAACAGCATTTACCGAGCCTACCTCCTGCCTGAGGCTGTCTGAAGCACCTGGTTGAGATGATTTCATTTAGTCCTCCCCAAAGTACAAAGGTCATTTACAGATTTTCCAAAAGGCTTAGGTTAAACGAGTGTCCCATGTCTCGTGGCTCCCTAGCGGCTGTCAGGCCTTAGCTCGGGGCCCCGCCTCCGCTCCTGTGTGGGGTGGGGGAGCAGTGGGAGCCTGGGCAGGGGGCGGCCCCAGGGAGCCAGCGCAGGGGAGCCCAGCGCAGCAGCGCTCGGGTGGGAAGCACGTGTGCGCGCCTCGGGCCGGTCTCTACCGCCACCCGGCGGTCAGTGTCTGAATAGCACCAGGGGCTGTTCGAGTTCCCATTTCCCACCTGCAGGATCCTGCCCTGAGATCGGAACAACGCCCCCCGCACCCCCACCCCGGGGAAACCTGTCAGCTTGGGAAGCTCCTTTCCCATCAGCACCCCGAATTTCCTCACGACCTTCCTCAAGACCTTGCTCTCTGCCCTGCCATCAGCCTGCAGCTGATGGGCTCCTGCCCCACCTGGGAAATGGGTAAAAATGGTTTTCTTATCGGACTGGAGCAGCTGAAGGGGAGGCTGAGAGCTCGGCCCTCAGCTAAGGGAAGGGGGTCTGAAGGACCCTCCTCTAACACGGAGAGGAGGCGGGTCGGCCAGGGCGCCGCACAGGGCAGCTCACTGATTCTCCCCGCGGAACGTGCATTCCCACCACCGCCAAACGGAAGATCTAGACATTCACGGAGAGTTTCACAGTTTAGCCTCAAGGCTCCCACACCGTTGGCACCCATGGGATGGCGACTCAGACAGGGAACTTGAATCCAGGTTCAGCACCTGACCCTGCCATGCATGGCCTTGCAAGAATCCCTGGGAGCTTTCTAAGATGAGCTGAAGCCTGGTGGAGCTTTTGGAATCTCCCTAAGGCCTAGCTGTCAGCCTCTCTGAGGATCCTCTCTCTGAGGATCTCAACATCCTCACTGGTTAAAGCTGTAATGGGCGCCAAATTATTTCCTTTCCCTGGTAGGTATAGGAGCCTTCCCTACCCACGCTCCATGCTCCAGGTTTTCAAGTGGGACGGGCTTATCCAAACCCTAACTCCCTGGCGTCCAGATCTCAGGGATGGTGAGGATAAAAGGGACAGAATAAGCTGGTCCCCTATGTTAAGGAAGCATACACACAGGATGAAGCCTTCCTGTGTGGCCCTTAACTGGAGAGTGTGCTTCAAAAACAAGTCTCAGAGCCCAGAATAGCTCCCTACACTACCATGGGGGCTGTGTGTTTTAGGTAAGGATATTCCCAGCATCCTTTAGGTGACTCTTCTAAGCCATCGCCTACATCCCAAGCAGGTGTGGTGATGGGGCATCCTGGGGCTTCTCTTTCCAGGACGGAAGGCGGTGTGTGCAAGGGGGCCACTGTTGGAGTGCTCCTGGACTTGAACAAGCACACTCTGACCTTCTTCATCAATGGGCAGCAGCAGGGGCCCACAGCCTTCAGCCACGTGGATGGGGTCTTCATGCCAGCCCTCAGCCTCAACCGCAACGTGCAGGTACAGCGTACCCCTCCCCGCAGGAGCCCAGCTGACTGCTCGCCTCGTGGCTCTGGGGCCTCCAAGGTACACTTGGACAGTGCCGGCTCCGAAAGAGCTCACTGTTGCCTGCCCAGGCAGAGAGCTAATTACCACCAGCCCACCTGCCCTGGAGACAGTCTCTCGGGCAGGAACACTTCCTACTTACTCACTTGCAAGAAGCAGAGGCTTTAAGGTGGCAGCTTGTGGAAACACAGTTGGAGGGAGGGGGGAAGCAGGTAGGGGTTCCATTTTCTGGAAAGGGTGCAATGGAGGCATCTGTTAGGCAGTTGGGAGGAAGTCAGCGTCCCCTGGCCAGCTAGAGCCAATGGCCCGGTGTGGCTTTCCCCTGAAAGGAGAAACACAAAGGAAGGCTGGAAGAGACTAGTCCTAGGGGCTGTGAGTCTTCTGCTCCCTCTCACCCCATCTGCCCCCTCTGGCCCTCACATGAAGCAGGCAGAAAAGTTGTCCTTTTAGATGATAGGGCTGGGCCATCCTGGAGGAGGCTCAGGAGGTCCCAAAAGGGCAGAGACAAAATGGGAACCCAGTAAGGGTGTGAGGTGAGCACCCTTGGTTTCAAACAGAACCCTTCTCACCTCTGGGAATCCTGCTTTGTGTTGTCCACTGGCTCTGAATATTGACAGGGCAACATCAATCCCTGATCCATTGACTTGTACCTCCACTCATTCACAAAAGAGCTTTGAGGCAGCCTGAAATATGGGCTGTTCTCCCATGGGGCTAATAGAACAGGTGTAGGAGAGGAACGAGGGCCATGGAAAGAAAGCAGAAACACAACCACGGGAACTGCACACCTGCTGTGACAGAGCCTCAGCCTTGCCTAGGCTCCTGGCAACTAGGACAAAGTGGGAGGTCCAGGCACAGACCGGCTCCTCAGGGCAAACTCAGACATTATACTAGTGCTGGCGAGCAACACAATACACAGCATAGCCCACAGTAGAGAGAGGCCCCAGGGCCGTGGCCCCTGTGCTATCTGAACACTCAGGGTTCTCGTGGTGGCCTCCCCTACCTTCACTCTCCGTGTCTTCTTTTCCAGGTCACCCTGCACACAGGATTGGAAGTGCCAACAAATCTGGGGCGGCCAAAGCTGTCAGGCAACTAGCCTCCCAGCTCCAGCTGTTCACTGGCACCTGGGAAAAGCCCCATCACCCCTCAGTATGTTCAAAGAACCCATGAGGGTAGAATGATGATGTCATGGGTGCAGCCCCAGCAGTCACTGAATATCTTAGAGACATGTTTTCTTTGGGAGATGCTGAATAGGTCTGCAGGCCATGCTTGTTGGGCAACTGGTTAAACTGGCCACTTGTTAAAGTGGCCACTCGTTGGTGGTGAACATGGGTGTGTTTCATTCCTCCTGGACATTGCAAATACTCACAAAGAAGGACCTTTCTCCAGGGAGTGAGAATGCATCCAGGGTTTGTGGTTGTTTCCTGCCATCTGGTTTCAAAGCTTGTCTTTTGGGGGAGGGGGGCAAAAGGAGGCCAGACTGGCATCCTAAGAGCAGGAGGCAGGAAGACACTTTGGAATCCCATGCCCCGGATATTGACCGTTTGCTGGGACATCACTCAGTCCCGAGGCTGCAAGTTCTCATCTTCACCAGGAAATGTTATCCTTTTGCATCTTGGTCCTGGAGCCTCCACTGTGTGATGCCCTTGCAAACCTAATTCAATGTCGATAGAAAGGGGCATTAATTTTGACGTTCACCACTCCCACTGAACTATTGAGAACTTTTTAAAATGGTTTCCTATGGTCCTTCATTAATCAACCAATCTCTCTGTCTTTCTGTCTGTCTCTCTCACGCATGTGCACAGTGTGCACGCACACACACATAATAGTTCACTAAAATTCATTTACTTGGTTCTTAGTTCTTAAACACGGGAAAATACTGAAATTGGAATGACAGAGTGAGGAGTCTTCACCTGGTGGCTCTTTTCTGGAATGCAAGCCTGTCATGAGTTGCTTTCTTCCAGGCTGAGCCCCACCCAGATTCGTAGCACGTGACACACGAGATGGGAGGCCATGGGGGAGCCTCTTAGAGCCTCCTACCTTTGCTTGGAGACCCATTCTACTGTCATCCTGAAAGCAGCAGGTGGCCCCAAGGGTGGTTCTGCCCCGGGGGGCGGGGGGCAGATCCTCTGAAGAAGGCAGCAAACAGCAATATCAGGGTGTTCCTCGCCCCCACTGCCCAGAATCCAAGGCTGAGAGGCTGGAGCCCAGCCTCTTCTCTGGGAGCAAGGACCTTCTCCCAGAGATGCTCACTGAGTCATCTGCATCTCTCGCAAAGAGAGCTCGCTTTCAGGGCTCTGAGCCTGCAGCCTGCCTTGGTCCTGTCCCCAAAGCATGTTTCCATCTTCTCCTGCTTTTCCTCCCTGTCACCTGCCACCTCCATTTTCCATCTGGTTAGTGAAACTTCTCTCTCCTTTTTCAAAGAATATATTTTACCAAGCATTTTATTTTGTCCATTTGCTGGATTGGATTTTTATATGACTTAGCCCATAAACCGGCAGCGACTGTTTACTCTGGTCTACCTGCTCGTCTAGACGCTGCCCTTTCCGAGTCGCCCGGCCAACGCTGTGTAGATCCTGCCCCCTAGCAGCAGATCTGACAATCCTACCTCAGAGCCCACGCCCTAGGCCGCAAGGCTACCTTGTCCCCGCCACTGCGTGGGCAGGTGTGCCGGCCAGGTGGCTGCCGGCATCTCCAGGAGATGCTTGGTGCTGTTTAAGCCTCCACGTGCCCCTGTCCTGGCGGTCACCTGCAGGGTCACCTGCAAGGGCAGCTGCGGTCCTGCCTCTTCATTTTCCGCCAGCTGCATGGTTCTTTGGGTGCACGGATGTGCTCCTCGTCCTGTCCCGGAGCTCCACCAGATTCCCCTCCCCGGGGGTGTCACTCCCTGGGCGCCAGGCTGCCTGTGTCCTCTGCTTCCACTTGCCTTTGGTTTCAATCCTTAGCCATAGCTCCGGGTGGACTCAGTGTGGAGGTGGGGAGGATTCCTAAAGACTGGAGGACACAGAGGAGCCACAGCCGGCAGGTCCAGGGGGCTTGGCTTTGGGAGAAGAAGGGCCACGCTGGGAGTGATGCTGGGCATGAGTGTGGCCGGGAAGGCGGCGGTGGCTTCCTGCAATGGAGTTCCCCATGAAAGGCTGGGGAGCATTGAGAATCCCAGAAGCCCGGCCCACCAGGTGGCCCTGTATCTGCCTCTTTGGAGAGGAGCTGCTCCAGATCAGCTGGACTTGGTGACATCCTCAGGACAGCCAGCACCTGGGTCAGACAGATGTGCAGCAGGGAAAAGAAGTCCTACCACAGCAGGTGATCTTTTTAGGAAATAAAAGATAATTTTCCAGAGCGAAGCCTCCAGAACTCTTGGCCACTTTTGCAGTGGGTCTGCAGCTCCCGGAGGCCCCGTGAGTGCCTGGAGCAGGCGTCTTTGTACCTTCTCCAACTCCTCCAGGAGCCCTCAGCAATACGGCGATGTCAGGCATCATGTCAGACTGTCCTGCAGCCACCTCTCCTGTCCTCAGCACAGAACACCTTTCAGGGACGAGAATGGACCTAGGAGAGAAGGCAGGTCTGGGCCACACACCCATGTTTTTGAGGGATCAGCCAAACACAGAAGGAATCAACAGCTCATGGCTTTATGTCACCCTCGGAGATTTGGGAGTACAGGCGATGGGTCATGGGTTTCTCATCTGCCATCGAATTCCCTGTCCCTTTACAACGTGGTGGCATTTTTGAACATAAAGTCATATCTAGACGATGCTTTCGTTGGGCTGACTGAGGAATAACGTGGTGTTTATCTATGGAGCAGTTTCCGTGAGAAAGGAATTCAAAGTAATTTAAGACGTCAAGTTATATTGCATTGTAAATACTGCCTCCTTAACTAACGTAGGTCTGCAGTTCATTCTTTGCTAGTGAGCGAGTTTGATCAAAGTGTTTGCCTTTCCTTCTAGAATTCATCTTTTTTAAAAGTGTCCAATAGCAACTCACTGCATAGCATCCTAGCTCCTAATTCAAAGAAGGTAAGACATTATATACAGCCCTGCTTCCCCCCCCTTTCTGTCCTGTTTGGGAAAATAATGATTCTAATTAAAGTAGATGTCAGTCATCCTGCCCCACAATGTGACTGACCTAAAAACTATAAAATTGTATATACTTCTAGGCTGAATCTTCAGCTCTGTGTGAACTCTAGCTGTGACAGAGCCGCAGACCCCCCCACAGCCCAATGAGAGGGAGGAGGATGGGCCATGCTTTCCAGAGTGAGCCTGGACAGAACCGGAGCTCACCAGCAGCCTTGGGATCAGGCCTGTCCTCCTTGCTCGTGCTGCCCGGCGATGCCCCTCCCATCCGGTGCCCCCTGCCTACCAGAGCACTCTCAGGAAAGGATCAAAATGCAGGTTCCACATGTGCTTCTTTCGGGGATTTTTGCATCTTAGCCTTAATTCTGGTTGCAAGTGAAAGGTCTGGTCCCCTGTGAAGGCACGTCTCGGCAGATGCGCGGGCAATTCTTCCGTGAAGCTGTTGCGGGTCCATCCCATGGCCACCTGCTCAGGGTGAGAGAGTGAGGGTAGGGAAGAGCCCTGGGAGGGACCTAGCATGTGATGCTGGAAAACACTATCACAGGGCCCACAGAGGATGCCAGTGTGCCTCTAGTTCAGCAGTATCGCCATTTAGGGGTGATTCATCCTCTTATAGTTGGGTGCTGTCCTGTGCTCTGTAGGATGACTGGCAGCATCCTTGGCCTCCACCCACCAGATGCCAGCAGCAACCCCCATTGGGTGTGCCAACTGTCTGCGGACATTGCCGCATGTCCCCTGGGGGACACCCGGGTTGAGAACCACTAGGCTGTGCTAGTGGTTTGTCCTGTGTTGATGTGCAGAGTGATGTGTGGGGTGTCCACGTCAGTGTTACATGGAAAGCCCATGTCACGAAGCTGGGGGCCTTCATCTTAATGCCCCAGATCAGGATTTTCCAAGGGTCTGCAGTGTTCTGCCAACTGGGGAAGGTGGCAGGAGGTGAGGTGAGCCATGAAAGGAAGCCAAGCTGTCAGGTCTCACCTTGTATTTACTGAAGTTGCTCCCCATGCCACACACCCCTTCCCTGAAGGCAAACCTTATTACCTTCTTTTTTCTTGGCCACTTTCGATCGGAAGCAACAGGAACTTCCTAATGGATATGTGGCCTTTGTCTGGTTTTAAAAATCAAATCAGATCTCATTAAAAGGTATTTTAGGTCTATGCTGATTTTGGGAAAGCTCCACTTTTGTTTTGCAAGCAAGCCAGTACCTGTGCCCGTTGATCACATTCCTTGGCAGTTCCTCCTGGACGGGAACAGGATCCTGGTGGCTTTAACTTTAAATGGACCATAAAATAGGTAACAGTAGGTATGGGGTAGCATGTGTTCATCAGATACCAAGTTCAGCCCTCAGAAACCCATCTCTTTTTAAGCTGGCTTTGATATTGGTTCATGGTATGGGTGTGGGCAAACATCTTAAGTCTTTCTGTGCCTCTGTATCCCCACCTGAAAATGGAACCAGTCATACCAACCTACCTCCTCTGATGCATTGTGAGGATTAGAGAATAACACTTTTTAAAGGAAAAAATGTAGTCTTTCATCTGAGTCTAGGCTAATGGTCCCCATTCAATAAATTAAGGCTGTGTGGTGACTTTCCAGAATGTTTTCTGACCAGTGTCTTCCATTCAAGCCTCTTAATGACCAGCCTGCCGCCTGGCCTTGACAAGAAGTTGACATTTCAAATAGGCTTCACATGACCATTCAAAGCAACACAACACCCCAAATGTTCCCATTCTCAGTGAGGCCTGTTTTAACAGTACTTTCTGTACAAAGTTCTGTAAACAGGCTGTGTACAGATCAGCATTCTCATTGTTGGTCCCAAAGGCATCGGAGTACAGAGCCCCTGTAAAACCTGGAGAGGTCAACCTGCCTTTCTGCCTCCTCGGTCACCTTAAATTCTAGTATCTAAGGTGACCCCAAACCAGAGTGTAACTCCATTGGTTCCCAAGGTGTCAGCAGGGGAGCAGCTCTGAAAACCAACAGGCTAAGAGTAAGACGGGAGGCGCCCACATGGCAGCTCAGAGGCTGCTTCGCAGTCGTCTCAGCCCTGGGATCTATTTGCACGACCCACTAAGGGAGAGTTCCTGGCTTTCTCAGTGAACGACATCGTTGGCTTCAGGCAGGGGCTGGGAGTTGAGACCTCATCTGGAGTCTTGTCTGGAGGCGTCACTGTTCTCTCAAAGAATGCAATTCACCAAGGCCGCAGGCTGCCCACCCCAGTCCTGGGAAGGACCCCAGCAAGGTGGGCACCACTCATCAGGCCAGGCCCTCAGACAAGCTCTAAGGAAAGTACCAAAACAGACTTCAGGTTTGGAAAAGTGACTGCCTGTGGCTGTGGAAGCAGGAACGTGGCAGGTGTCTGCTGGGTGACAGCCCAGCCTGGGGACAGACCTTTGGAGCTCCTCCCACACTTCGTGACAGGTGTCCCAAGCCGAGACTTCCTCAGCACAGAGGAAGCGCAGAGTAAGCAAAGCAGAGGATGTTAAATGCATGATGTAGAATTGCTGCTTTCCCACTAAACTGTTGTATGAAGCATGAGAGATTTGTTTCACGTTGGCAAAGGAATTGAAAAAGTAACAAGCTTTGTGTTCTTGTTTTGACTGTCCACAGAACTTCATGTTCCTGCCTTTCTTTACCTGTTTTTCTCCCTCCCTCTGACCCCACCCATCGCATCCAAGTCCTGTTGGAGTTGTTGGTATATGGTGGCAGCTCTGGGTCCCACTGGTGTTCATGTTTCACTGGAAACACGGGGGGGGGTTGTTGGGGTGGGGGGAGGAAATCAACTTTTTTCTAATTTTTGTATTGGTACCCACAAGCGTTTGTATTTTTTGAATTGCAAACACTGTGTTTTCTGGTCTTTGGGGGTTGGTTGAACTTTGTGTATTGCCTTTTGGAAAACCTGAGTTTTATCACAGTCTTAAGCAGATTTGAAATAAATTCTTTTGACACTGCCAACAACTTAAAGACAAGGCATGGTCTGTAATTACTGTTCAGCAGCAAGGCAGGCCTCTTTCCCTGCAGGCCCTGATTGCCAGTGGATGGCCGGGGCAGAGGCTGCAGGCCACCCTTTCTCTCACCTAGAAGGTCTGGGCCTTGTGAGGTGCCAGTGTCAATATGGCCACATTACATGTGCCCATGAGATCTTGAGGTGATTGCATGACTCAAGAGGATAGGGTCCATCTCAAACAATGGGGAATTTGTGCATTAATTCTTGCAAGGGGCAGCAGGGCTGGAAACTGATAACAGGTAACATATGGTTTAGATACATCCATGAATAAACACTGATCAGAGGTTACATGGAACAGATTTGGGGAGGACATCCTTATAACCTATGAACACCCAGGAGACTGACCAGCCCCTTCAACCACACAGACTGAACCCAGGTGTGTCTGACCTGAAATCTCTGTCCCTTGTAGCCTGCCTAAAACTATGATCCTCGGGAGCACCCATGTCACATGCCTCTCAACAGCCCCTTTGGCCTGGACTCATAGTTCAGCTACCCGCTGGATCCCCAGATGACTTACCTGGGTAGTGATGATTGAGATGAGGCAGCAGGGCATTTACTAGAGGGTGCTCTGTGGATTACCCCCCTTGGAAGCAAAGGAAGCAGGACTGGCCACAGAGTTTAAGCTGTACCACAGACCCAGTAAAGGCCTCGGTCAGTCTAGGCTGGGAAGTGAGCACTGGGTTTTAACATCCCTAACTCAATCCAGCACAGACTATGGGCCACCCCAGAGTGGGGGGCAGGTGAAGTGATCCCCACTCAGAACAAGGAAGTAGTAAGTATTCATTCCTGAAAGGGGATCTGAGACCACATGGCATTCACCCATCATCTCTGTACCACAGATCTATGCTTCACTGAAGTCTGGGGAGCAGCTCTTCCAGAATTCCAGTGAGGGAAGCTCAAATAAGGCTAGGGATTCAAACTACTTGTCCTGCCACTGTAGCTAGTCTTGGAGCTTCGAGGGACATTCACTGTCTGCCTCTTCTCCCACTTAGTCTAGACTCCACTTGCCCTCACCTAGTCACCCTCTGCTATCCTGGGGGTCTGAGCCTCAGGTCACCAGGCCCTTCTCACCCAGGGTTGCTGTATTTGTCTATTGACTATCAAAATCAGGCAAAAGGAATATGAAGAGATGCCTGAGGGGACTTCCTGGGTGCAGACTGTTCCCTGCCCTCACTGGGTGACAGCAGCCTTTATCTCCACTTGATGGTCACGGTCAGCCACCCCCACAAGGTGGTGGCTCTTCTTCTCTGGACTACTGGGTATTCGGTGGGACATGTGCTGTACTGTTTCTTCCTTTGGGAAGCAGGGTCTCCAGGTCTGTGGGGCCGAGAGTTGTGGAGACAGGAAACTCAAGGTCCCTAGATAGGTCACTGGGAATAATGGTAAGTGGGTTGAGCAATGGTTGATCTGCCAGATGTGGCCAGGACTGGAAGAAACCCTTGCAAAGGGGAAATGGCAGTATGAAAACAGTAAGGGGACACTTATCCACTGCACTGAAGCTCATGTCCATTTCCTTTGTGGCTGTTGTCAGAATCTTCGTCATAACCATCTTCCTCTGAATGACTGTTTTTCATGGTGGCTTCTTTCTGCTGCTAGTATTGCTGGAAGAGACTTTATCAGCGGGGAAATAAAAAGCATGGTCTTAAGCATGATCACCGGCCCCTAAAATAACAGGTTTCTCTTAGTCCCTAAACATCTGAGTATTTCTAGAGCACCCAGTGGTAACAAAATCATTCTTTAAGTATTAATTCAATAAATTATAAAGTGAAACTAAAACAAGGTAACATACTTAGAACTTTTCCAGAACTGACCAGCCTGTGGCTGTGGTCCGGAGTCCCAGTGCTCAGCTGTCTGAGCCACGTGGCTCATGGAGGGCAGGGTGAGGGAGGCTGCCTCAGACCCTGGGCTCTCTCTAGAGAAATGGAGTCAGACTGCCCCAGGAATCACTCTGATAGGTCACTTCTAGCTCCTGAAATGTTTCCTGGTGCTTTGTCATGCTTGGGATCTTCTATACCTTTTTTTTAAAAAAAAGAAAAATCACTCTTAAAAACTGCCGAAACGTATATCCTGCCAAGTAACACCTTCCAAAATAAATTTGGAAAAGAGGACATGGATTCCACTCTTGCTTCAGTTCAGAACTTTCCTGGAGCTCCTCATTTGGCAATGCCTTTGGAGTCAAGTTCTGACCTGGACAAGAACATCAGCCTTTGTTTTGACCAGAACTATTTACTAGGTTTGGATCAGAACTTTTTGGTCATAAAAAAAAGTCAAAATTAACACCACTGAAGACTTTTTTTTCTTAATGCGTCACAAGCTTGGAGAAGTTCCCAACACCCTCAGCAAGGGCAGTATCATTAAAAAAATAAACGTTTAGCCACCCGAGGTGATTATCTTGAAGGAGATAACATTAGCATAGGTGTCCATACCAGGACATGAGTTAAAATCTCTGCTGTGTTAACAGTCACAGCCACATTTACTACAAAGTTGTGTTTTGTTTACATAACTTCTTAGGAAGGACATTTTATACAGTGGGGAAGCTAAAACTTACAACTGTTTTTCCTATAAAACAGCTGACGAATATTCACACTCTTGATCTCTTCATGATACAGTATCATTACATCACTTTTAGAAAATAAAAGGCAATTTGGAGGCACCTGTGTGGCTCAGTTATTAGTTAAGTATCTGACTCTTGATTTTGGCTCAGGCCATGATCTCAGGGTCATGGGACCAAGCCCTGCTCCATACTCCATGCTGAACGGGAGTCTGTTTGGGATTCTCTCACTCCCTTTCCCTCTGCGCCCTCTGCCCCATTCGTGTGCTTGCTCTCTCTCTAAAATAAATCAATCTTGAAAAAAAGAAAAGGCAATTTAAAGCTAATCATTAGCATTTACAAATCAATAAATGATCACGTTTATGAAAAATTACATTACAAGCAAATGTACAAAACACCAGGGAAAACGAATCTAGCATAAATCTTGCTGGAGAAGATTAAACAATCTTTTCAATAGATTTGAAAAGCACTGCTGTCCCTTCTCATGCTCATCACTGTAAAACAGACACTTAAGAAACGACAAATTTTATTATTTCTATTTGACGTTTTTTTCCCTAAAATAGAAAAGCAGTCTATGAAATATGAAATAAATAAAAATAATCTGGAAGTTTTGTGGGAGTCCAGTTTCAGTACAACGTTCTTCCCTTTATTTTATGAAGTATTTCATTTAGCCACTCGAGATGAATTTATTTTCTTGATATCAACCTGGCTCAAAATCAGGGTCCCATTTTTGAATTTTCCAACCTGCCCAATCCGTCCATTTGACAAAATACTGGGAGCTGATTTCTTCTTTTTGGATTTCCTGCAGTTAAAGGGAGAGAATAGTATTAGAGTTAAGCTTATGAAGACGGATTGCAGCACCATCAACCAGGTGACTGTGGTCTGCTCCTGCAAGCTCCTGGGATCCTCCCGTGCACACCACCCCCACTGCCCTACCGCAACAACCGCCTGCCTTCCTGTGGTCCCTGAAACATGCCAGCTGCCTTCCTGTCTCAGGGCCTTTGCACTGGCTTCTTCTTCTTCTTTTTTTTTTTTTTTTTTAAAGATTTTATTTATTTATTCACGAGAGACACAGAGAGAGAGATAGAGGCAGAGACACAGGTAGAGGGAAAAGCAGGCTCCATGCAAGGAGCCCGACGTGGGACTTGATCCTGGGTCTCCAGAATCACACCCTGGGCTGAAGGCGGCGCTAACCTGCTGAGCCACCAGGGCTGCCCTGCACCGGCTTCTTTTATGTGCAATGTTCTTCTACAGATCTTTCTGGGCTGACCCTCCTCTTCACTCAGTTCTCAACTCAGAGCCCACCCCCAGTGATTTTCTTTTATAATACTTTATTGCAACCTCTTCACAGAACCTTCCGGCACCTGACATCCCCTTGCTTACCTGTTTGTATGTTTTGGTGTGTTTCCCTCACTACAATGTAAGCTCCTCAAAGGCAGGGATACCCCTCGTGTGATCATGGCTGTATCCCCGACACCTAAGACATCTATATGCTTGGCACGCAGGGAACCCTCAACAGACAGACATATGTGGCCAGGATAAATGACCATCCGCATGCCAGCTCTCCAGGAGTCCAAGAAAAAGGTTAAGACAAAAGATGTCAATTTTGAAACAGTAACTCAAGGAGGGAGAGAAGGCATTTTTGAACAAAAGCTAAGAAACAAGCATGAAGCAACAAAATCAACATTCCGTTACTCAGATGATGGTGCTCCACCTTGTGTGGTATGGCAGAGGACAGTATACAGCCCCAGACTGCGCTGTCATGTGGGCAGGCTCTTGGGGGGGGGGGGGTTGGGGGGGGAAGATCCCCAATTCAGTTCTGAAGTAGCTGTTTGATCTGGGGCAATGTCCTAAAGCCTGTCTTCTCCCAAGACTAGATCAGAATGCACAGAGACAGTGAAGCACTCTAACAGGTCAGAAACACCAGGTAAACTCAAGGTGTTATTTTCAGGACTAACCAGTAGGTTTATCCGGATAACTCCCCCTAGTACCTGGGGATTTCACTGACCTGTCTTCCTGCACTCTCTTCTTCTTCTTTTTCTTGAAAATATCTGTGTCCTGGGCCTAATTTCAGGATTTAAGACAACATATATGTCAATAATGGGTAATGGATATTCAAAAGCAGACAAGAGGTTTGTGATCAAAAGCCAGGGAGACACCATTTACTTTTCATCTTTTTCTCAAGCAGGCATATTAAACATACACTCAATTTCATCCCAAAACTCTCTCAAGAGTGTGAAAGGTCATTCCAGAAAAGACTTACAGGAGAAATATGAAATCTTCCATTTTAGGGGAAAGGGAGGGAGCACAGCATTCCACCCCTCTGTGGCCCCTATGTTCTATACAATGTAAAATACAACAGAGGAAAAAGATCACAGCAGTTTACATGATCTGCTGGCTTACCTGGCTACTGTTATAGAATGCAACTGACCTGAATGGGTCGGGGAAGATAATCATTTCACCCTCCATCTTACTGTGGTCTACACTGCTTCCCAGGTAGTAGGTCCAGCATTTCCCTGTGGCCAACCACAGGCAACTTCCTGCTCTAGCTTAGTAACAAAAAGGCTGTTACTCGTACCATTCTCTTTTCTTCTTCCTTTGCTGCCTTTTTTCCTTTGATCTGCTCCTGCAGAACCTTGTAATTCACATAACTGTTTTTGGGAGGCTGAAATCCAAGGGGGAAAAAAAGCCAAGAGATAATCATTTTTTATTTTGCAAAGATCTCTCGGTGACCCCTGTCCTCCCTTGCCCTGGGATCTCCCCTTCCTGTATCCTGTCTGCTGATGGAAGACAGAGGCAGCCCCTCACCTTGGCACCCAGCATGATGGCACGTTCCCGTTCCAGGACTCGTTCCTTTCCCTTTCCATAACCTGAGATCCCGAACCGGTGCACTTCCAAGCGAGCCTGTGGACACAGACCGGAATCAGATCCAAGTGCATCCCAGAGACTCCAGAGAAGAAATACTCCCTTGGAGCAACACACATCAGACATCAGGATGTGCTGTGGCAAAAACTCTGTTGTGCTGTAGTTTGCGGAGCTTTGTGGAGGTCTTAACAATAATCTCATACCATAACCTCACAACACACGTTCTCCCATGTTGAATTTTGGATAGCAGAAGCAAAGACTCAGTAGCACACAAACTAGCAACAGAACTAGGACTGAACGCAGAGTTCTGTATACTCTGGGGTGCTCTCTGAAACAAGCTATTACCCTAATGGGCAAGAATTTCGACCTAAAAGTACCTCTCCAAACACTCTTACTCACACCAAGAAACCATTTCCTATAGCAGCTTCAAACACAGATCTATGTTTGTCTTTTTTTTAAAGATGCTTCAGAGGAAAAGAAAAAGCCACTGAGGCCACTCTTAGCAATTGAGTTACCTCCTCCTTTTTTCTCATGCATTTTAAAAACCTAGTTACAACAGGAGAATACGGGATCCCTGGGTGGCGCAGCGGTTTGGCGCCTGCCTTTGGCCCAGGGCGCGATCCTGGAGACCCCGGATCGAATCCCACGTCGGGCTCCCGGTGCATGGAGCCTGCTTCTCCCTCTGCCTGTGTCTCTGCCTCTCTCTCTCTGTGTATGACTATCATAAATAAATAAAAATTTAAAAAAAAAAAAAACAACAGGAGAATACACACATCCCTCCTTACTTTCTTACTTACCACTGCATCATGGGCACTGCAGTCACAAACCATCATGTTTTAAATGACAGCCTAATATTCATCAACAGATGTAGTGTGATTTACTTCAACCACTGGACATGTAAGCATATTCTTTGTTTGGTATTATAAAGCTGAAAAAAATTAAGTTTCAAACACATACCTTCTCTAAGTTAAATTCTTGTCTATCCACATCTTTCTCAAGGATACTACTTTTGATCTGAAAGAAAAAAAATTCTTATTAAGATCATCTGTTTCTATATCGTTGGAGTATTTGTCATCAACAGAGTAATCATATTTTAAAAGGCCTTGAAACTGGCCCAGATGCCTAAATACCAAACAATAACATAAGTATGTTGCACAAAAGCTGTAATGGAAGAAAAATGGAGAAAAGAAATGTTAAGGTCTCAGAGCTTAAGAAAGGATAAAAAATTATTTTAAAATACAAAAATAAAAAAAGACGATGAGACCAATGTCTCTCTCATAAATGACATGCAGATTCTGTGCAGCAGGGGAAACAGTTTAGAAGAGGGTGACTAAGCAGGGATTCTGGAGGGTAAACATTTTATACACACACACACACACACACATATATATATACATATATATATATATATATATATATATTTTTTTTTTTTTTTTAGAGAATAGTGTGTGGATGAGCTGAGGGGAGGGGTAGAGGAAGAGAGAGAGAATCTTAAGCAGGTTCCACGCCCAACATGAAGCCCAACTCGGAGCTCAATTTTAGGACCCTGAGATTATGACCTGAGCCAAAACCAAGAGTTGAACGCTTAGCTGACTGAACCATCCAAGTGCCCCTGAATATTATATTTAAATAACTCTTCTCTCCCTTCTTCCTCCCATTCAGCCCTTAAAATAATGGCTAACAAAACTCTCTTAACCTAGATATTTCTTTCAGGAACATCACAATTCTAGAAATGGTGGAGATTTGGCTTATAATTCCCAGTAGAAAATAATAATGCTGCAAATGCCTTCAAAGCATGACTCTTTACACTGATATAGCCACTCACTAGCTTCGGTTACCAATCCACAGAACTGACCAGAAGCTTGAGATTTTAAGGGAATATATTGTCACATCTGGCTAACAGCAGCAGTCACTACCCAACCCCATCCTGGACCAATAGGAAGCAGGCTCTAAAAGCTGTGAAGCCTCTAGAAAAGGCCCCCCTCTCCCTCAAAGGATAATGTTGAAGACAGATAGCCAGCCAGCCGCTCACCAGGGTGGGACCTCCTGCCATCCCGCTCAGCAGGGAGCTCTGCAATGTACAGGTCTCCCGGTCTCTCCTTCTCCAAATGGAGCTGTACTTCAGCTTATCCTGGTCTGTTTCCCCAGTGTGTATTTTGGGTGTGCAGGTCGGTCACTGAATACTTCCACAGGTGACAGGCTCTGTCTCTGTGAGGCCATACATTGATCTCACAGAGGGCTTCTCACAATGAAAGTGGATAAGGTGTGCGGTGGTAAATGTCAGTGAGGTCCAGTAAATAGGAAGACGTGGCCAGCGCTCTCATTATTAGCTAATCCACTGTGAAATAACACCCTCCAGCAGTCACCCCAGCACTGCTCATCTGCTGGCATGCTGCATGCTGACACCCAGCTGGACAGGTGGAACATGGTACCATGAAGGATGACTGCCGTGCGCTAAGCATGTGACCCTGTTCTGGGCTCTCAGTCACAATAAAGCCATCTTCCACATTATTTTACCAAGATTCCTGACTTTCGTTATGCTTCCAATTTTCTTCCATCATGTATTTCACAGAATCGAATGCCTTAGTTAAGGCGATGGGCACACAAAAGACACCAGGCACTTCCATTCCTCTATGCCAGAAAGTCTGATTTTGTGTTCCATGTCAGAAAAAAAATGATCTATTTACCTTGAAGTTAAAAAACCTTTTCCATTGGCCTGCACACCCAATCTATTTAATATGATAAACAGTAATATTACTTTTGGAAAACAAATTGCTTATATCTTAATGAATTCAGAATTATCCAGAACCTCAAATGCAAATTGTATGCTAAAAAGAAAAACTGTATGTGGTTCACAGATCTCCAAAATCCCATGAAACATTTACCTCCTTTCCTAAAAGTTTAAAGAGTTCTTTCTCTCTCTTCTTCCCTCCCATCCATCCAATGAAAGCAACTAATTGTCTTCTGAGTTGGAAATTTCGTTCAGGAGCATGAGATTCCCAGCAGTACTGGAGAAGTCACAGATGCCCTCAGCAGCCCTGTATCAGATGAGCACGAGGAAGGAGCAATCTAAGTGGACCTAAGTGCTGTGATAAAATCCCTGGCCACCTGTGTGACCACTGTGGGGCCAAAAGCCCTGTGTCTGGGGGTGAAACTGACCCATGGAGGAGAGGGTCACAGCCTCTGAGGTCCCTGCTTTCCCCTGCAGCCCCACAGAACACCAACTCCTTGCATGCAGGCCTCCATTTATCCTGGCTGTGGGGACATGCAGGCTGAGGGGCAGTGTGGACAGGGTTAGTAGGTGTGGTCGGTCACACATAGACACCTTGCTATTCCCTCTGTTATCATTTCACTAGAAACATCTCAGCTTTGCAGCTCTCGATGTTTGAGAAAAGGTTTGGATTCTAGGTCTTTTTTTTTTTTTTAATAATAAAAGCAAACATTTAGAAAATAATTCTTAGCTCACTGTCTTGTGATGCTGAGTCCATAGGCATGAACCCACCAATATCTAATATCAAAAAAAAATTTTTTTTATTTATTTGAGAGAGAGAGAGAGTGCATGTACAAGCAGCGGGGAGGGGTAAAGGGAAGGGAGAAGCAGACTCCACGCTGAACAGAGAGCCCAATGTGGGGCTCTATCCCAGAACCCTGGGATTGTGACCTGAGATGAAGGCAGATACTTAATTGATTGAGCCACCCAGGTGCCCCCAATATCTAACTTTTATTCACGGCTTTAATGACCTTTCAGTCCATTATTCATCATATATTGCCTGACTTAGAAATCATCAGTAGTTTTGCCTGTTTTCTTTTCCCTCATGCTCACTGTAGCAGGAGGCTTACTACCTACAGGCAATACTAGGTCCTCCCCTACTTCTTGCTCCCTGCCGGAAGTTTGGCAGGGCTACATGACTTTCTTTGGCCAAAGAAGTATGAGCAGAGGGGACATATGCCCCTTCCATATGGAACTACTAAAAGCCATTCACTGACTCCCCTTCTTCACCAAAGCAACTAACAGCCTTCTTTCTAGACGGTGGAGCCCCTATTATCCTGGGTCCCTAGATGAGCATGGTGTGGAGCAACACACTCTGTCCTTGCTAACCCTGATGAACATATGAAAATAATTAACTTTGCCTTCAAACCACTGAGATGTAGGGAGCATGTTACCAAACCACTGCCTAATCTATCCTGACCTGTAAAGCCTTACTGTCCCACACACAGGAAAGAGAAATGTTTGCAGATTTTGAAAACTTGCATGTTAGGCTCTGAAGAAAGAAGAAAGCTATAATACAAATAAAAGTTTAGGGGTGCGGGATAAAAGCTGGCAATCTCCTGGGCTAAGTGAATGCGTCCATGGGCTGACTTTGCTGACCACGACTATTTTCTGCTGCACTGGTTAGGTTCTTTTATTCTACTAGTTACATTGTCCAACCTTTGTCCAATGAGAGAGTAGTTCAGTAATTAAACACTCTTTTTAAAATTCGAGCAGTTCAAAGAACATTGGGAAATTTATTCATATCTTCTAGAAGGCAAATTACTTCAACTGTGTTACTCTCCTCCTAATACTTAACCAAAACTGGATTTGCTAAACAGGAGTGTTGAACAAAGTTAAAGGGTGCCCTGGAGCATGAAGCATTTCAGGGATGAGTCCTAGGGAATGATCTAGATATTGCAAAGGTTATGAGAGCAGTAAAGAACCTGTGGCAGTAACACAGGGACAGGTCTTTCTATCTCGTGAAGATTCTAGACCAGCGCATTTGTGTTACTAAAAAGATGAAGAGCCTAAGCTAACCTGCTCTCGCTCTCTCTGGTGTAGCAGCTTTCAAGCCAGAAACCCTGGGGTCAAAACCTGAGCTCTGGTAGTCACTTCACATCCACAATCCTTTCTGTGGAATTCTTAGAAAATTCAGGAGCTTTCACATTTGAGAAAGGTAATATTGTGAATGTACTGAATACAATATACCATTTTCACTGGGGGACAAGACAGCACCTCATGATTAAGTACATTCATATTTCTGCCGCAGTGTCTATGAATATTCATGCCAAATGGAACAAACAAAAATCATTCCTTAACCCCTTGAGTTGAGTTCAGATCAGCTTTTGCTGCCCAATAAATCTAAAACACAACAAAACTGTGACTTCCAAAGCTCTGGGGTTCTGGAACTGTAGATATGGGGTGACTGACAGTTTAAATGTAGGCAAGTATCTTAACGTCTCTAAGGCATCGATTTCCTCTGTAAAATGAAGACAGGGTGCATGAACTGTGAGGATCCAGTGAAATAATGAATTAGTGAACAGAAGTAATCACCTGTGATACATAGTATGCACAGGAAATCTTAGTTCTTAAAGTGATTTACTGCATGCTTAGCAGCAGTCTGCATGTACCTGCGTCCAGGCCATAAGGGCCAAGAGCCTCTTCTGATCTAGTGTCCACTGTTCTATTATTTCTATTCCCTCTTTCTCATCCCTTTTCTATGGAGGCCACAAAGAAGGCTAAGGTCCAGGACGCAGATGATGCTAAGGGTAGAGAAAATAAAATACTAAGATGTATCCCTTGAGCAAGCAACACTTGTAACATTTCCAGCCACACCTGGTGCTTTCAGTCTCAAGACCTTTCTTCCTCACAGGCAGCCTTACACTCATCCCTCAAATCCGGAGTCTAGGCCACCCCATCTTGAACCAGAACCACTGTAGTAAACTCCTAACCTAGCCCCCGTAAGCCTCTTGCTACTGCTTATCTACAATCTACCATACAGGGACCTCAGTGAACGTTTAAAATGTAAATCAGATCACCTCGTGCCCTAAAATTCTTTGTGGTTTTCTACATACTTTAAATTTCAAAGGCCTTGGCCTGTCCCTCTACCACGGCTTGGACTCTTCTCCCCTTTGTCCTACTCCATTAGGTTTCTAGCTTCCAGAACCCAAAGGCCTTTTCTTTTTCCCTTTTTTTTTTAAATATTTTATTTACTTATTCATGAGAGACACACAGAGAGAGAGAGAAGCACAGACACAGGAAGAGGGAGAAGCAGGCTCTATGCAGGAAGCCCGATGTGGGACTCGATCCCGGGTCTCCAAGATCATGCCCTGGTCCAAAGGCAGCGCTCAACCACTAAGCCACGGGGCTGCCCTCCATAGGCCTTTTCATACCTGGCATGACACTTCTGGCTCCTTTCACTGGAAAGCTTTAGCAGAGCCTCATGTCACCTCCTCCTGAGACTGCCTGCCCACTCTACCAAAAGGAGGTTCTTCCTATTAACTCTCAAGACTATTTCTCTCCCTCAGGGGGTTTAAAACTCTCCTTATTTTATTAATTTACCTGATGCTTGACTCCACCAGTAGACTGTAGATTCTATGAGGGCAGAGGACTATATCTCATTCACTGCTGGATCTCCTGGGTCTGGCAAACAGGAGATACCCAATTATTCATGGACTAAATAAGGAATATCATAACCTACTATTTCCTGTCAAACTACTTCTATAGTCACTGCTTTATAAAAGGGATATGATCAGTTAGTTCATTTGCAGGTTAGACAGTTGGAATGGGTAAAATGTTATATAGATGGTGGCCAAGTTCCCCGATTAATCCATTAAAAGGCGTGTTATGGGGAGGGTTCCCCCACATAGCAATGCTCCCACACCAGCTACAATTCAAACTAATGGTGACACTCTCTACCTGGAGATAGCATCAGATTACACAGGTTGAGGGCTCAGTCCTACAAGATGGCCACCCATCTCATTCTCCAGCTGCAAGTTCATGCTGTGACCTGTGTGTGCTTCTGACCAACCACCTACAGATTAAAAGTTCCCATGACTCCCTCCTTGGGTTCCATTAGTTTGCTAGGGTGGCTCACAGAATGCATGAAACCTGTCTAACTTACTAGAGCACTAGTTTATTATAAAAGGATATAGGGGATCCCTGGGTGGCTCAACGGTTTGGCGCCTGCCTTTGGCCTGGGGTGTGATCCTGGAGTCCCCAGATTGAGTCCCACGTCAGGCTCCCTGTGTGGAGCCTGCTTCTCCCTCTGCCTGTGTCTCTGCCTCTCTGTCTCTCGTGAATAAATAAATAAAATCTTAAAACAAAAACAAACAAAAAAGAAATATAACTCAGGACGAGCCAGATGGGGGGGATGTACAGAGTAAGATAATGTGGGACAGGACGAGGCATTTCCATGTCCTCTCTGAGTGTGTCAGTTTCCAAGCACCTCCACACCATCACCAACCCAAAAACTTTCCAAACTCTTTGGGTTTCTACAGAGGCTTCGTTTCATAAAGTATGACGGATTAAATCATTGACCACAGGCAATTAATTGAGCCCATTATTTCCCCCAGAGGTCAAGGAGATGGGATTGAAAATTCCAAATTTCTAATCATGTGGTTGATTCTCCTGGCAACCTGCCCTAATTCACTCACTATAGAAGATACCTTTACTGCTCTCATCACTTGGGGAACTACAAGGGTTATAGGAGTTCTGCACTAGAAATGGGGGACAAAGACCAAATATATATATATTTTGTATTAAAAATCAACAAACCACACCATGAACACCTGTTTCGATATACAATGTAGTTTAACCACAGTATTTACGGCACAAGCCTAGGGAAAGAAGGTCATTTCCTGGGTTCAGGCAGGGCCAGCTGGGTTCTCCAACTTGTTAGTACCTCTCATGTATTCTCCAAAGACAACCAGCTGACTCCATGCAGGCTATCATTATCTTATTAGACATTTTTGCTGATTCCATGTCTGTCTGAACTGTCCTACAATGACCTGTAAGCTTTCAGAAAACAGGGGTCACAACTATCTTTTACCACATTATACAAACTCTTAGCATAGCATCACATATCCTAATTACTCCCAACTGACCGACTGACTATTCCTTAGCTGGCATTCCCAGGATATGCCATTAATAACTAGCGTCATATTCACTGCTATTTGTTTACATGTTGCAATGTAAACATCCTGAAGTCTTGTACAGGCTTACGTGTTTTTACTGTGTTCATAATCTGTCTCTTTAGTCAGACACATTCATGTGTTCAAAGGATAAATTTTAAAAAGGAGGAAAGGACAGAACGCCAAGGACAACTGAAAAATTTCATTAAAGTCAGGAAATCCAAAATGTCAAATGAACGGAGGTTCCTGAGAAAAGCCAACTACAGTGAAAAAGGGATCAAAAGGGAAGGGAAGGGCAGCCCGGGTGGCTCAGCGGTTTAGCGCCCCCTTCAGCCCAGGGCGTGATCCTGAAGACCTGGGATGGAGTCCAGGGTCTGGCTCTCTGCATGGAGCCTGCTTCTTCCTCTGCCTATGTCTCTGTCTCTCTCTCTCATGAATAAATAAATAAAATCTTAAAAAAAAAAAAAAAAAAGGGAAGGGAAGGGAAGAAGATGGGAAAGGGAAGAAAGAATCCAACAGCCGGCAGCAAATGTTCTATTATTAAGAGACAGAGAAATGCACCCATTCAATGCCAACATTTTTGTCCTATTAGAAACTTTCCATTCTAGAAAGAACCCAGCAAGTGTAAGAGGAAACAGAAGACCGAGACACCTGAAGAAATGAGGGAAGGTACTCAGATGCTTTGTTCGCTAAATTCTCCAAATGCAGAATTAGATATAATGCAAAGCCAACCTTTTCCTTTGTGTGGCACATAGAGAAAATACTACTCTTGGTAAGGTGCACAACAGTTGGCTGTGGTAATACCAATCACTCTAAGTTCCCTAGCTGGCTGAAGGGCCAAGGGAATCCACTTCCTACCCTGCCTTAACAGTTCCCAGTGTCCCATGTTTGGAGTATGAGTTGGAAATTGACCTAGAATCCTAGAATCAAAGTAGAGGATTACAAAAAGCATTTAGTCTTTGAAGAAGGCATGCTGGTGAGTGTGACATAAAGAGCTGGCTGAATGCTAGGAAAGATGACACAGATGGTTTTTTAAACCATGAAATAGATGTGGAAAGCACTGGACACTAGCATGTGATCACAAGTTCATCAAGAAGGATGCACGCCTGACTATCTTTGTGGTGGGTTGAATTGCTATCTCCAAAAAGACATGTCCATGTCCTAATCCCCAGAATCAATGAATGGATCTTACTTGGAAAAAGGGTCTTTGTAGTGTAATTAAGTTAAAGATCTCATGATGAGACCCAACCTAGATTTCAGGTGGACCCTAAATCTAATAACAGCGTCTTACAATAAGGGCAGAGGGAGATTTGAGACTCAAACATATAGAGAGCCACAGGCAGATGGAGGCAAAGTTTAGGATGATGCAGCCACAAGCTAAAGAATGCTTAGAGACACCACAAGCTGAAAGAAGGAAGGAAGGATTCCCTTTCAGAGAGAAGTGTGTCTAGCCAACACCTTGATTGTGGCTTTTGTGGCCTCCAGAACTAGGAGAGACCAAATTTCCATCCAGCAGCCCTAGGAAACTAATACAATCCCTTTTTCCTTTTATGAGACAAAAGTTTTTGTGTTTTTTTTTTTTTGAGACAAAAGTTTATAGGACATGAGGAATCCAACAGAAATAGAATATTTGGATTTTTGCAATATATTTAACAAAACTATAATATCCTTGTGGGAAAAGCTGGATAAGCAATGACATCTCTCTCTTGGCCTGAATTTTGAGTAAGGCTTACAAAATTCAGTCTGAGAGAGATTACTGCTCAGTGAAATCAAACTGCTTTCCAACAGAATGTAAGTTCCTTGAGAGAGAACGGTTTTCTCTCTTGCTCAATGCTGTATCCCGGTGCCTGAAACAGCAGCCAGAAACAGTTGTTGAATGACTCAGTTATCTCTGAGCACCGTCAAGCAGAAGGCTTATCGGTATGAAAAGATCCACTCAGCAGGCCTGCATTTCTCAAACTCTGCAGATTCCTAAGAAAGTCTTATTTTCATATTTGGCCCTTGGTTGGCTCCTGGGAGCTGACCAATTGGAATATTGTCTGATAAAAGTGTTTTTGCATCCCCAAGCCTTGAGCCAAGCCACACCAAGTCTGCCCAGATCATTTATTCTAACAATGTGATTTATGGAGAATACCTGCTTTTATTCTAGGGGTCTAGAGCTTTAGTAACTAAGGTCAGTCTGCATGTCTACATAACTGACCTCTAACAAAAACCCTGGACACCCAGGCTGGGGTTGAAAGTGGTTAGCAACACTTCCCACATACTGTCAGAGGACACTGCTGGGGATATGAAACATCCCATGCAACACCACTGGGAGGGGATATCTAGACACTTGCACTTGGTTTCCCCTGGCCTGACCCAATCAGGCTTTTCCCTTCACTAGTTTTTACTCTGTATCCTTTTGCAGTGGTAATTTGTACCTGTGATGATGACTACACGCTGTGTTGAGTCCTGTGAGTGCTTTTAGCAAATCCTCAAGCTTAAGGGTGGTGCTGGGGACACCTGGCACGGTGTGTACAGAAACTAGAAACTCATCTAGTGGTGCCTGGCTGGCTCAGTCCCTACAGCTTGCAACTCTTGATCTTGGGGTCATGAGTTCAAGCCCCATGTTGGGTGCAGAGATAAATAAAGAAAAATGTATCTTTCTAATTTTTTTTAATAAAAACTTTTTAAAAAAAAGATTTACTTAAGAGAAACAGAGAGAGATTGCACATGCCTGTACGAGCAAGTGGAGGGGCAGAGGGAACATGAGAAGCAAGCTCCTGGCTGAGTAGGGAGCCCATTGTGGGACTCAATCCCAGGACCCCAGCATCACGACCTGAGCCAAAGGCAGACACTTCACTGACTGAGCCACCCAGGTGCTCCCTGAAAAACTCTTTAAAAAAAAAAAGGAAAAGATACTTATCTAAAACTGTGATATCAGGGTTTTCACCATATACATATAAACCAACTCATTACCTGCATGTTCTCATTTTGATCTAGCTTCTCTTTTCTTTTTTTATTTCTGCTGTGAAATTCTATCACTTCTACTTGCTCCCTGCTGTTCTTCAGGGTTGAGGGTGATGCTGCAGCACAAGGGACTTCTGGTCCTGAAGGGGGTTCTGCGGGGGTCACAGCAGGAGTGCACTGCAGCTCTTCTTGGAGTTCCTTGAAGAAGCTGGAAGCACTCTTCCTTTGGCCTCTTACAAGAGAACCAGGTAGGGGAGCTGGCTCTCCTGTCACTGCCGCTGGGGTCCCAGCATCTCTCTTCTTCTTTTCTCCTTTCTTTCTGCTCCTTTTCTGTTCTGCTTCATATTGTGTTTCTCCTGTTTGTTCAAACGCAGAGTGGAAAAATAAATAGCTTTGGTTTTATCAAATCGTTAAATCACATGAATGCGCTTATGTGCAAGCCACGGCTATCCACACCCAGAAATACAAAGAAAAAAAAAAAAGTCTTATTTTTCTTCAAATGGGGCTGTAGTTGCACAATTATTTTTACTGTTTAAGCAAGCTCAGAATTCCGACCAATGGCTCCACGCTAAAACAGATCTTGCAGTATCAGGTTACAAATTTAAGAAATGTTTGCTCCTTAAAGTCCCTAATGCCTCGGCTCTCTGCGTTGTGTGAACAAGGGATGTCCTCTAACTTGGAGCAGGTTCTCAGAACGTGTGGAACCGCCTTCTGGCTAAAGTGCCAGGCGGCTGCCAATCTGTAATAACTTTCTATTTCCTTTTTCCCGGGCCAGATTAAAGGAGAGCACAGACTGGCCAGCTGGGTATTAGAAAAGGCTGTGAAAAGCTTTACGTGAAATGATCTAAGAAGTCTGCGGAGAGGACACCCTAAAGGACGGAGCTCGGCCGAGACGAGGCGGTGCCGACGCCCCGGGGTCACGCGGGGCTGGGAGGGTGGCGCCGGGAGCGCGGGCTTCCCAGCGGGCCGCGAAACGTGACTGGGTGGGCTACTCCGGGAGCCCAGGCCCCGCGCGCATCTCTGTGCTTCGGACCAGCACCCTGGCGCCCGCACACGGACGACTCGGGGTGTCTGCTCCCTGGATAACAGCCCGATCACCGCAGCGGTGTGTGCGGGACCCATCCAGGGACGCAGGTCGGAGGCGCTGGGGGCTGCTCAACCTGCAGGAACCTTTCGCCCGAACGCCCAGGGCGGCCCAGTCCGCTCTCCACGTGGGCTCCGAGGCCCCGCACTCACCAAAGTCGTAGAGGTTCCGGAGCAGGGCGTCCAGGAGGGTGCGAGAACCCGCGGGCGCGCGGGCCCCCAGCCCCCGCTCCTGAGCCATGCGGGCCGCGCCGCCGCGCTCGGGCCCAGAGCCCGCGGTCGCCCGCGGTCACCCGCGCCTCGCGCGACCCGCCCTTCCGACTTCCGACGCGGTGCGCGAGCGCGCGCGTCGCAGGTCCCGGCGCGGCTTCCGTCCCGGTTAAGATGGCGGCGCCCGGGGTCCTGCGGCGCGGCAGCAGAGGGTGCCGCCGCCCCAGGCGAGGTCGGGCCGCCCTGCGCGGAAGAACCGCCCCCAGCAGCGGCAGCACCACCACCGCCTAGCAAAGAATGTCAGGCCCCGCCCGGGACGGCAGCCGCACCATGGATTCCTCCAGCTCCTCTAACTCCTGTTTCTCCGTCGGCTCCGCCAGTCCCGGCGCTGTCGTGCTCCTCTACTCGGTAGGCGCCCAGGGGAAAGAGGCCCGGGGCGGGGCCGCCGGAGAGGACTCCACCCGCCCGGCCCCGGCCTCCTGCGGGCCGCGGCCCCCCCGGCCCCCCCGGCCCCCCCGGCCCCCCGGCCCCCCGGCCCCAGAGAGTGGGTTCCCGGGCCGCGCGGGAGGGGTTGGGTGCTTGACTTGGTTTCCAAGGCAACGGTGTATCGGTGCGTGTGTAGACGTGTGTGCGCTTTTAGAAGTTTCTGTGGGTGGTGGCTCCTGTGGTTCCTTTCCACTCATCCCTTCTCGGACCCTCCACCAGGCACGGGGCCTTCAGGGAGCCCCTGATACAGGAACGAGACGCGAGGATGGGCCTTTCCGCCCCTGGCGAGGGCCAGCCTGCGGGTAGACCCGAGAGACCTGCGGGTCTGACCGGCGGCAGAGGCTTCAGCCTGTGGCTCCCCGCCCCGCCCCGCCCCGCCCTTCGGCTGCCGCGGTCCTGGGAGAAAAGTGTTGGGCTTGCATGTGGGCATAGGATTTGAAAGACGGAAAGTTTTTGATCTAGGAAGATTTGGAACTTCCGGAAATTTTCATTGCGTTTTTGTCCTCCGTCCGTACCTTTTGCAGTAGTCATTTCGGAAGACCGGCGTGTTCGGAGAGGCCCCCCAGCCTCTCCACAGCTTGCCTCCCGGCCCCCCACCCCTCCCCCTCCCGATTTTCACCGATCTTTTTTGCCACCGGAATGTTGGTCACTCACAATTCATGTGAAGAAATTATGAGGTAAACGGTTTGTAGTTCTCAAAATTGCACAATTGTGGGGCAACTGGTCTTTTTTTTTTTTTTAACCGCTAAATTATGTCTACAGGGAAATAAAAAGAATGCATTTTAAAAGCACGTTACTGTGTCCAGGTTAGTGCCAGTCTCTGACTTAAGTATAGTATTAATTTGTGTAGGAAGATCACAGCAGCAAAAAGACAAGACAAGGTAAACAAAAAACTCAGTTTCAAAAGAAGCGATATAGAGGGCTCCCTTCACATTGGGACACCAGTATTCCTTGGAACTTGGGGAAACGTCTCTTTCCTTGATGTGGAGAGCTCTGGGTTTATAATTGCTGTCAACTGTCCACTTGTGTGAGGATTATTACTTTAACCTCTCTCCTCATTGACCTTTTCATTCCACATCTGTGGTAGAACTATTTTGACCTCATTTTCTGACTGCTAATCCAGGGCCAGCATGTAGGGAAGCCGGTTGCTGTGTAGATCTGACTCGCCATAAGTAGCTTTCTCAGCCCCCAGCTGGTTTGTGAGTTGACGGTAATTTTGCAGGAAAGAGCAGGGTTTTTTTTACTTCCTCATTTACCAATGGTTCTTTCATGAGAACACTTCTGTAAGCTTTTTCACGTGAAAAATTAAGGCAATTGTATGTGAGCTTTTTCTGCGTCTGAATCTGGCCAGAGCCCTCACTAACTCTCAGGATTGTGTCGTCTACTTTCATGATAACCTGAACTTTTTCTTACTGTTTCAGGCTGTTCTTATTTCCTCAGCCACCGTTATTGTGCAATACTTCACCTAATGTGAGAGTAGTGCTTAGGGATATTTAAGATACTCCTGATTGCAGCAAACATTGCAGCACTGGTTGATTACCTACAGCATCCTACTCGTCATACTCATTACTCTCAATGTCTGAGATATGGAAGTAAAAGATCCAGCCCTTGCCTCTGCGGACTTGAAGTCATGGAAATAAGCAATTACAGTTGAGATAAGGGCAATGATGGAATCATGCCAGTATGTTGTGGGAGGAGTGAAAAGGAGCACCTGACTTGTCCAGGGCTTCAGGGTTTTTAAGGAAAGGTGACACCTGAGCTGACTTTGAGGTGTGAATGGGAGATAAGGGAGGAGAGGAAGGCTGGCCTAGGCATCCATGTAAGAAAGCCACTCCCTTGCTGTTTGGGAGGACCAAGTAATTAGATAAGGGTGGAATAAGGAGACATGAGAAACAAAACTAAGGAGGTATCTGAAGATATTTCCTAAGGGGGCTTTATATATTATGTTTATACACCTTTAAGGATAGAATCTTCACTTCCTAAGGGAACATTTCAGGATTATAAAATTTGTGTTTCATTTGTTTTGTTTTGTTTTTTTAAATATTTTATTGATCTATTTGACAGAGCCCAAGTTGGTGGCAGAGGGAGAGGGAGAAGCACACTCCCTGCTGAGCAAGAAGCCTGATTCAGGACTCCAGGATCATGACCTATTGTGAAGGCAGATGCTTAACTGACTGAGCCACTCTGGTCCCCCCAGATTTGTATTTTTGGAAGTCTAAGAAGACTAGGTTGCTAGAGTGGTTAGTTGTGTGGATAACCTTTATTTGAGTAGAGACTGTAGGAGGAGAATCTGATTGGAGAAGGAATCTGATACCAAAAGCACGGAGATCAGCAGAACACTATTACAGTAATCCAGAGAAGTGATGAAAGCCTGAGGCAATGGCAGTGAGCCTAGGGAGAGAGGGGATGGGTGAGTTTGTGTGATCTTTAGGACAGTTGAATGCGGTGGCTAAGGAAAAGGAGGTGGGTGGATGTTGCTGCCTTTTGCTGATAGGAAATCTGGGGAAAGGAGCAGGTATAGTCAGGGTAATATATTTCAGTTTGGAATGTGTTCAGTGTGAGATGCGTGGTAAAATTAATGATTTCGAACTTACGGATTGCTGTGTTATGGACCAGATACATCACAAGGTGTTTGGGAGATACCCAAATAGAATTAGAAATATGGTACCAGAGCAAAGGAGGAAGGTCTGGCCTAAATACATGCATTTGTCAGGCATCAGCAAGTAGACTGTATGTGAAGCCATAGGTCTGCTTGAAATCTTTCAATGAGATGACAGAATGAAAAGAAGACTGGGAGTAGATAATTACTGTACCCAGAACCCAAATTATGGCTTTCTCTTAGAGTCTGAATGAAAAATCGGGACTCCTTACAATGCTTACAAGACTGCATAATTGCTTCCTCCCTGATTTTACTAATCTTGCTCACAGGGCTTCAACCACACTAGCCTTCTGTTCACTGTTCCCTCTGTATGGCATGCCGTTTTCCCAGAAATTTACATTTGCTACCTTCTCCCCTGTTTTTTTTTTTTTCAGTCCCAGCTCAAATATCTCTCAGAGAGGCCTTACCCAACCATCCAGTCTAAAGTAGCTCTCCAGGGCAGCCTGGGTGGCTCAGCGGGTTAGCTCCGCCTTCAGCCCAGGGCGTGATCCTGGAGACCAGGGATCCAGTCCCACATCAGGCTCCTTGCATGGAGCCTACTTCTCCCTCTGCCTATGTCTCTGCCTCTCTTTCTCTGTGTCTCTCATGAATAAATAAATAAAATCTTAAAAAAAAAATAAAGTAGCTCTCCAGTCCTTTCTCCTTACTGTATTTTCTTTGTATTCCCTTTCCAGTGTTGTACTACAGTAGTCTTGTACTGACTCTCAAAGCTGATTGATAAATTTTCATGACGTTAAGAGCACATTGGTGGAACACAACCATTATCAAAAAGTAAAGATTAAGTTTTATAAATTTACAGTTAAATAAATTCTGTTAAAAACAAAACTAATAAATGCTCAAAACTCAACACCTCCTAATTATTTTCATTAGATTTTACTGTTACCTCTGCTTTCTTTTTTTTTTTTTTTTTTTTTTTTTTAATTTTTTTTTTTTTAACTTTATTTATGATAGTCACACAGAGAGAGAGAGAGAGGCAGAGACACAGGCAGAGGGAGAAGCAGGCTCCATGCACCGGGAGCCCGACGTGGGATTCGATCCCGGGTCTCCAGGATCGCACCCTGGGCCAAAGGCAGGCGCCAAACCGCTGCGCCACCCAGGGATCCCTACCTCTGCTTTCAAGTTTATGTCTGTCAGACTGTAAGATGGAAATCCTATGTAATACTGGTTACTACCTATCTGTCCCCAGATCGGTGTTCGGTGAGATCATGCTGATAGCTTCAGGTCTGCCGTGGGGGGAGTGTAAATACGACAGAAATCAACAAATGCTAGAAATCAGGGCTCTCGTGTAGTTAAACATCCACCAGCATGCTACTGCTAGTAGGCCTAAGTAAAACTTGTTTATTTGTCTGTCTTTCCTGAAGGGAGTGTAAACTCCCTCAGTACCCGGTTTTTGTCTGCCTTGTTCATGCTCTATTCGTGGCCTGTAGAACAGTGCCTGGTGCATTGTGCGCTCTCCGTAACTGTCTGTGGAATGAATGGATACTCCAGAGCAGTCAGCAGGGAGGTACAAGGAGAAGCCTGTTTAGCTACAGATGAGGGGCTGCTATAAAAATTTAGAGAAACAAGGGGGGGGGAAATAACCTAAATCTTTCTGGGACTCCTCTGTGTATTGTGCTCCTACATGAGTAGCCATGTAAATATATTTATTTTATGATGGTAAATACTTCTCCCTCATGGTTTACGGAAGGCCAATGAATGAGTAGTTAACATTCAACCCAAGCTGCATGTAGGAGTCACTTGGAGTGCTTTTAAAAATAATTCTGATGCCCAGGTACCATTCACACACCAAATTAATCAAGAATATCTGGGGGCGCCTGGGTGTCTCGGTTAAACACCTGACCTTTTTCTTTTTTTTTTTTTTTTTGAAGATTTTATTTATTTGTTTGAGAGAGAGAGAGTGCACAAGTCTGGGGAGGAGTAGAGGGAGA